GAAAGACACTAACCTGTCAAAATTCAGTTAAATTTTGGGGTCTTTGTTTTTATCCTTGTGGTATCGAAAATGGTATCGAGTATCGAGTATTTTCCTGAGTATCGGTATCCAGTTGAAAATTTTAGTATCGTGACAACCCTAAATCCCACTTTAAGTCCCACTTAAAGTCCCACTTAAAGTCCCACATTAAAGTCCCACCTTATAGTCCCACCTTATAGTCCCACTTTACCCTCCTGACTTCCTGTTCTGATGGATGACGGGGCATCTCTGCCTCTCTGTACCAGGATCCTTTATTTTTCTTTGACCTTTGACCTCTTGGCGTAAACTTTCGCATTTGGAGTGTCTTTGACACTGCAGCTCCTCTGGGTTTCAGAGGGACCCTGTGAGTCCGTCCAGTAAGTCCTCTGACGTCCGAGTGTCAGTGAAGGCCTCGCTGTGCGCCGGGGGGCTTTCAAAGCACAGCGAGCCAGGAGGACGTGTCCAGGCTACGAGCTAACAAGCTAACGCAGATACAGGTATGCAGGGGGGGGGGGTGTTTGTTTATGGCAATTTTACCCTCCTAAGGGTTGATATTCTTATTTGGCTCGAATTACTATTATTATTAGTGCTTATATTTACTTTCATTTGCTTTTATTTTGTGTTTTTATTTGGCTTTTATTTTTCTTTTAGTTAGTGCTTTTATTTACTTTTACTTGCTTTTATCTTGTGTTTTTATTTGGCTTTTATTCTTTGTTTTTATTTGGCTTATATTCTGTGCTTTTATTTACTTTTATTTGCTTTTATTTTATGTTTTTATTTGGCATTTATTTTTGTTTTAGTTAGTGCTTTTATTTGCTTTTTTGTGTTTTTATTTGGCTTTTATTCTGTGCTTTTATTTCCTTTTATTATATTCTATTTTGTGTTTTTATTTGGCTTTTATTCTGTGCTTCTATTTACTTTTATTTGATGTTTTTATTTGGCTTTTATTTTGTGCTTTGATTTACTTTTAATTGCTTTTATTTGCTGTTTTTATCTGGCTTTTATTTGCTTTTAGTTGGTGCATTTATTTCTGCCCCTTCCCGCCCCGTTGGCCTGACTGAGCCTCTAATGGCCCCACAGAAGTGTCTGCTGTGGGCATGAAAATAACCCACACATGATCCTACGGGGGGGGATCAATAGAATCAATAAAGTACTGTCTAAGTCTCTAAGTCTAAGAACTGATAACTTCTCATAAAGGTCTCAGGTCTGAAAAAACTCACAAAACAAATGATTATTTTGATTAAAGGGCTAAAGAGGATCAATGCTCTGATACAGATCAATGCTCTGATTCCTGACCGGTGCTGTATTACTGATCACTGGTCAGGGGGACTCTGGTGCAGCTCAAAGCAGAAAGAAAACAGGAAACAAACTGAATCTTTGGTTGCCATTGGAAACCGTCTCCTTCCCCTCTGACCTCAATGTGACCTCTGACCTCTGCTCACCCCAGAACCTGCAGACCTGCCCCGGGGGGGGCGGAGCTACCGGCCCTCAGGGGCCCCATCAGAGGCCCCATCAGAGACCCCATCAGGGGCCCAAAAGAGACCCTATCAGGGGCCCATCAGAGACCCCAAAAGAGGCCCTCATGGGCCCCATAAGAGGCCCCATCACAGACCCCATCAGGGGCCCCAAAAGAGACCCCATCCGGGGCCCAATCAGGGGCCTCCAGTGGCCCCATAAGAGGCCCCATCAGAGACCCTATCAGGGGCCCCATCAGAGACCCCATCAGGGGTCCCAAAAGAGGCCCCTGGGGGACCTGGTCCGTGGGGCCTCCCAGTTAGCGGGTCAGCGCCGATTACATAACCGAGTCCCTCTGATTCCCAGCTGCCTCTGAACGCCTCTGGGGCCTGGTGCTGCGTTAAAGGATCTTATCTCCGTGGGACTTTCTCTGCTCTCCGTGCGGTTAAACCCCAACTTTGTAAACTCCTAACAGCTCTGCCCTGAGAGGGGGCCCCGAACCGAACCGGCCTGGTTCGGTCCGGTCCGGTCTGGCCCGGTCCGGTTCGGCCCGGTCCGGCTGCCTACCTGTCCGCGGGTTTCCTCCGGATCCAAACGGCAGCGCTCCGCCCGGGTCGAGCCGCTTTGCGGGCCGGAGCCCCGGTCCTCTCTCCGGCCGGGCCCCGCTGCTCTCCCCGGCCGGCAGGCCTCCTCTCCGGCTGGGCTCCGGGCCGGTGGGACCCCGCTCCGCCGGGCCTCCGGTCCTCTCTCCGGCTGGCCTCCGCTGGCCTCCGGTCCCGTTAGACTCCGCGGGAGGAGGCGCTAACTGGGTCCTGCTGGAGGGAAAAGTCCGGCTGACTTTTGTCCTCGCGTAAAGTTGTGTTTTCGGACTTCCTCCGGTTCGGTTCCGGAGCTAAAAGTGTTTTGGAAGAAGGTCTCCACACTCCGAAGACGGAGGGGTAAAAAAAAAGTTTCTGTGTATTTACATCACATCCCGTTCCGAGGAGGAGGAGGAGGAGGAAGAGGAGGAGGAGGAGGAGGAAGGCAACATGAAGAAAAAAGAAAAAGAAGAAGAGTTTTTAAAGTCTGAGTCCTTTCTTTAAGCAGCCTTCAGGAGCAGCTTCCTGACAGGAAAACACAGCTCTGTTTGAGCTTCATGTGTTTTGGGATTTATCTTTGGTGTATTTGTTGGTAATTTTTGGCTTTGTTTTTTCTTTTTCCTGTATTTTTTTTCCATATTTAGCTTGTTTTGACTTTTTTTCTGTCATTTTGGGGTAATTTTTGCTTTGATTTGCTGTATTTTTGTCATTTTTAAGTCTTTTTTTCTGTATTTTTGGTCATTTCTTAACTTTGTTTCGACTTTTTTGCTTGATTTTTTGATAATTTTTATCTTTAATTTATATTTTTCCTGTATTTTGGCTTTGTTTTTACTTTTTTTCATGTATTTCTTGTTTTTTTAGCTTTATTTTTTGTTTTTTTTTGCCATTTTTAGTTTAGTTTTTACTTTTTTGCTGTCCTTTTTGGTTATGTTTAGCATTTTTCAGCCAGCGGCTCTTTGGAGGCTCAGAAAATAGATATAATATATAATATTTATTGATCACAAATGAAGAAAAGTCCTGCATGGACATTAATCCATAAATGCAACATGGCACAACAGAAGAGCTAAATTTAAAGCCTAGTAGTCTATTTTCAGATATTTATTGGACACTTCTGCTTCATTTGTAATGGGTGGAGGTGTTTTTTGATGCCAATAAAGGAGGAAAACCTCAAAGAAAAGGCAGGAAATCTTCATATTTCAGAACATTACAGCAGTTGGATGTGGGGCTTTTCTCTATGAAACCGAGCTCCTTTCTTCATAACTTGGAGAAAAGTAAAAAAAAACTATTTTTGTAAAAGTCAAACAGCAGTAACCCCAAACCTCAGACAGCGTTTGCATGCTTTGGCCAGCAGGGGGCGGCAGCGCCCCACAATGCCCAACTCTGAACCGGTGTGGAAATGATATTATATTATATTATATTATGATATATTATATGATATTATATATATATATATATATATATATATATATTATATGTAGCAGTGACTATGAGTTTCTTCAAACTCAAAAAGCTCTGATAACTTCTCCCCAAATGGTGCATTCACATGTTTAAAAAGTCTAAAACATTTGAAAATGACGAAGATTCAAAGGTTGGATTTATCCACATTGATTAGCTTGACTTAGAGTTTGTTTCTGCTAAATTTATTTGATTGTTTTCCACAAACAAAACGACAAAACAGTTCTACCTTAATGTGAATTAAA